ATCCGAAGCTCCGCTCCGCACTGCGAGGGTGGCGGCGCTGGCAGCGACGACCGTGCGGTTGAGAGCGGTTGTGTGGGGGCGGAGAGGCCGAGCAGGTGGTGGTGGGAGAAGGCGGAGTCAATGTCACATGTGTGCACTGGGGCCTCTGGGCTGGGCTGGGCTGGGATGTACCCCGGCTTGAACCACACGTGCTGCCTTATGCCCTCCATCGTCAGCCGCTGGTCGGGGGAAGGGGGGCAGGATGAAGGAGAGAAGAGTGTGAGAGAGGGAGTGGACGAGCGAGAGAATCTGAGTGTGTGCCTGAGAGCAAGGGAAGAGTCACAAGTGATGATCATCAGCGCACCTTGGCAGGGTCGGGCTGTAGGATGGCGGAGATGAGGGAGCGCGCGGAGGGCGAGACGCACGCGGGGAAGGAGAAAAGTGCATGACGGATCTTGCGGTAGAGCGGGCGCAAGTCGCTGTCCTGGAAGGGCGCGTAGCCCGCGAGCAGCACGAAGAGGATGACCCCACACGACCACACGTCCGCCAGGCGCCCGTCGTACCCTTTTTCGCACAGCACCTGGTGGGAAGGCGTGGGAAGAGCGGATGAGCAGGGGAGGAGCGGAGAAGCAGGAGAGGAGTGGATGAGCAGGAGAGGAGCGGATGAACAGCGTGGCAGAGCAGCTTAAGAGCAGGTGACGGTTATGGCGAGCACAGGAAGTGGCGAAACACCAGACAGTGGAGCAGTGAGGTAGTGACGCAGTGAGGCAGGGGAGCAGTGGAGCGGTGGGGCAGTGGGGCAGAGGGGCGGACCTCGGGGGCGACGTAGTTGGGAGTGCCGCAGGTGGTGTGAAGCAACCCGTCGCGGTGTTGCTGCTGCGGCAGGGCGCTCAGCCCAAAGTCCGACACCTTGAGATTGCCGCGCTCGTCTAGCAGCAAATTCTCCGGCTGACAGGGAGGGGGGAAGGGGCGGAAGAGAGCATGGGAGAGGTGGGTGAGATAGGGAACCCAAGAAGTAGGAAATGAGAAAGGACCAAGACAGTAAGACGAGATCAAATACCCTCTTGAAAGGCCCAAGACTAAACGCACTTTGAGGTGGCGGGAGCAGAGCAGAGGGGCTCACTTTGAGGTCGCGGTGGCAGACGCCCTTGGCGTGGCAGCAGTCGACGGCGTCCACCAGCTGCTGGAAGTACCGCCGCGCCTCGCTCTCCGCCAACCGCCCGCGATGCACCTGCGGGAGAACATCGTGACGAGGGTGATGAGGATTGGCAGCGGGAGGCGAGGCATGAGATGAGACGACGAGGGAGGCGAGAGTGGAGAAGGAGAAGCGAGGGACGAGGCACGAGAGTGGACGTTGGTGTGAAGAGGAGGAGGAGGAGCGGAGGGGGGAGAGGAGGGAGGAGAGGAGAGGAGGAGGGAGGAGGAGGAGGAGGAGGAGGAGGAGGAAGAGGAGGAAGAAGAAGAAGAGCAAGAAGAGAGAAAAGACAGAGGACAGTTCAACGAGTAAAGAGTGTCGCCTGTCAGCACAAGCAGGAGGGCGCGCGCGACTCACGATGCGGTCGAAGAGCTGCCCCCCGGCGGCGAGTTCGAGCACCATGTAGATCTTGCTCTGTGACGCCATCACCTGCCGTGCGGGATGCGACACATGCGGTGACGACGGGACAACGATGAGCGACGAACACGAGGAAATGAGGGTCGCAATGGACGGGTAGGGCGAAGAAGGGGGAACTGCTGAGACGGAAGAGTACAAGATGGGATGCGGGTTCCGCATCTGATCAGATTGAGATAGCGGAGGGGAATTGGGGGGAACGCTGCGGGGAGGCGCACCTCGATGAGGCGCACGACGTGCGGGTGGCGCACCATCTTCATCACCGCGATCTCGCGCTTTATCTGCGCCAACCCAGCATGGAAAGGATGTCATTAGCCGGATGGCGGGGGAAATAAAATGTATGCGGGGACATCATTATTACGTTCCACGACCCGAGAGCAGAATTCACAGAAAGAGCTCTCCTGACGAGAATTCTGAGAGCGCTTGCAGTCGATGGCGGGGGATGCTAGCAGTCGGCGAAACGCGAGTACTCAGAGGGGCCTTCCAGTGGACGGGAGTGTACCTGGTCGGCCATGTTCCGCTGGAGAATCTTCTCCTTCTCCATCACTTTGATCGCCACTTGCTGCATCGTCTTCACGTCTCTAGCGAGTTTCACCTTAGCGAAGCTGCCCTGGCCTAGAGTGCATCCCAGCTCGTAACGACCAACCAAGCGGGGCTTCGACTTTGAGTGGCTGTTACCAAAGTGCCCGCTACCAGAGTGGCTACTACGAGTAGTGCTACTCGAATGGCTGCGCTGGCTCCCCATGGCGTCCAGATTCGCCGCCTAAACTCGCATAGAAATCGTCTATTCAAACGTTCTTTCCGAGGGAGTGCGCGGGAGTAAATACTGGTGAATGAGAATGTGATGACCTCTCAATCATCCGTGCTTTGGCATCAGCAAACCTACATAGAGCACGTATGATGAGGTGCTACGGTAACGAGACGATTGAGACGAGCCTGCAACAGGACTCCGCTCCGATTTCATCTCATCCGCGGCTTCCTACTGCATCATTAGATTATGGCTGATCGCATCTCAAGTCGCTACAGTTCCCGATGCCTGTGCGACGTCTCCTAGAAACCACAACCTGGGGCCGCCAGGCCTCTTGGAACAGCTTCGTTGACTTGGCATTGGCTGAAGCTATGGCGGCCGACAAGCGAGCCGTGCAAGACGTCATCGTTGCTCGAATCGGCTGGGGTTTCCAATCCAACAGTCAAGGGCTTGGAGTGGAATCTAGCTGCTGTGCTGGTGGATCAGTTTACCTTTGTCGCGCATTGAAAAGGGGCAAGGGGGAAATTGGAGGGGTAAAGAGGGCCGACTTCTTGTCGCTGTGGAATGTGCGGCACGGGCTTGCTACTCCGCAGCATGACAGGTAGGCTAAGATTTGGGATGCGACGCGCCACGTAAACAGACGATGGTCCCAGATCTTGGAAAGTACAGCATTTTGTGCTGCCCGAGCGAATAGCACACGAGGAGGTCGTGCTTCGGGCACGATCGAAAATGGCATCTTGAGAAAAAGAGCATCTTTTGTGGGAATATTCCTCGAGTTCGCCAGCGAAGCAGCATCGTAGCAGAGCACTTTTTACATCTGCCTTCCGCTTGGCAACGACATCAGCCGGATGTCTCCGCATTCTGGTCGGCATCGACAATGCACAAATGCGTGATTGTTACGAGTGCAATTGAGTGAATGAACGAGAATTGCACTATCGAAGCAAGAATCCTATGAGCGAAGGCATGAGCGAAGAATATATAGCGAAACTACAGTGGTAATGGTAATGGACTCTGGTTGTCGCGCGACGGGCCTGGGACTGAGGTTTGGGAAAGTGTCGAAGCGGAGGCCCGGAGCGCGAGTTACCAGCCGAGCCGTGAGGTTGGGGTGCGATGTGCGAAAGTGGCGGGCTGATTGTCGATGCGAGGATCGCGAGTGGTAACGGTGCTGACTGTGGTGCTACAGTGATGTACGCGTTGAGCAGGGATGCGAAGTAAGGAAAAGTGATTTTCCTTACACTACCCCCCCCTCCTAAGGAGGTCCTCCTTACGAAAGTGCGTGGACGTCCCTGAAGTTTCGGCTGCGCAGATATTCGGTGAGAACAGGGTGGTTTTCGATTCTGTCCAGGGGAACCCAATTGTCTTCGGTGGGTGTACGGTCTTTCCAGCGGATCAGGAACTCGATCTTTCGGGCTCCTCGAGGGTCACGAACTCTGTGGCTCAGGATTTTGTCGGGGGCGATGATTGGTTCGGTTGGCGGTCGTGCCATGCTTGCTGGGCGATTGCGTCGGAGTTGGCTTGTGGATGGGACGTAGGGGCGAAGCAGGCTGACGTGGAACGAGGGGCTGACGTACCAGTCAGCAGGGAGGAGGAGGTGGGCGGTGACGGGTGTTATCATGTGGCTAATGCGAAATGGCCCACAGTATCGGGGTCGGAGTTTGGGTGTGATGGGCAGTCGGAGGTTCTGAGTGTCGAGTAAAACTAGGTCGTCGGGCTGGTAAGTGGCAGGTCTGCGGTGGCGGTCGGCGTTGCGTTTAGCGATGATGTTCGATTTTTTGATTGCGTCTGCTGCCCTGGTCCGTGCTGCTTGCAGAATTTCAGCGAACTGTTGTGCGCGTGGAACCGGGTTGTCGGGGTTCGGGGTCATGGGTACTGTTGGGTCTTGTCCGTAATTCATGTAAAACGGTGACTGTTGGGTCGTGGCGGATGGGGCGTTGTTGTATGCGAATTCGATGAGTGACAGTTGTTGCTCCCACGTGTTTGGATCGTCGCACGTGGCCCTGATGAGTTGCTCCATGGTTTGATTTGTCCATTCTGTCTGTCCGCCTGTTTCGGGGTGATACGATGAACTAAACTGTAGTCGCGTGCCGAACTGCTGCCACAGGTTCCGCCAGAAGTTGCTCGTAAACTTCGTGTCTCTGTCGCTGATGATTGATGCTGGTATCCCGTGCAATAGAACGACGGTAGAGATGAAGAGGCGGGCTGTTTCTTCAGCTGTGATTGATTTCTTGCAGGCTGCGAAGTGTGCCATTTTCGTCAGTCGATCGACGCCGACCAGGATCGCGTCATTCCCACTCGCTCCGGCCGGTAACCCCGTGACGAAGTCCATCGTCACCTGCTGCCAAGCACGCTCTGGGGGTGGGATTGGTTGCAACTGTCCCGCCGACCGCTTCCGGGTTGACTTCATGATCTGGCAAGTGGGACACGATGCCACGTGTCGCTGTACGTCGGTCAACATTTCGGGCCAATAATAATACCGCTGCAGCTGCTGCCGTGTTTTCTCTACCCCGAAATGTCCCGAGGTAAGTCCGAGCCAAAGCTCTGCCTGAGCTGGAGACGAGCAGCGCGGATCCAGTCGATCAGCACCTCAGTGACATCACCCTTGCTGCGCAAGGGGAAGACTGTGGTGTAACGCGAGTATTCGTCAACAACGAGCAGGAAGTAGCTCTAGTGACCCTGTCCACGGACGCGGGCTGGGCCCCACACGTCCATGTGAAGCGTCTGCAACGGGGCCTCTGTCGGAGGAAACTGGGAGGAGTGAGGGGCAGCCCGCTGGCGCCCCTCGACATAGGGGACACAGGCAGGGTCAGGGCCCTGAGGAAGGGGTGGGAGGGACCGGGGGAGACTAGACACAAGAAGACGGGAGGCCATGCCCCTGAACTGAAGCATAGAGGGGTGACCAAGACGGTGGTGCCGGAGGAGAGTCTCGTGAGACAGGAGACGACACGAACAGGGGGCAGACTCAGGACCAGACCTGGACGCTGCAGCAAACACCTGACCGGACGAAGTGACTCTACCAGACTCAGTAACGGGAGGAGACGCAGTGGTCAGTGTGTACAGGCTTGACCCCGGCTGACGGGTAAACGCAGCCAGGTGCCGGCCTGTGCTAGCCTCTGTACAGTGCGTCACCCGCTGACGCGCAGGAGTGAACTGGTGCACTCTCCCATCCTGTAGATCAGCACCACTCACCAGGTTCGTAGAGAACGAGGGGAGGTAGAGACCAGACAGGGTGCCTGAGGGAGCCGCCGGACACGGGAGGACTGTGGAGAAGCGAGACACGACAGGACCCCCAGAGGGGTCAGCCAGGGACACCGTAACCGGCCGACTAAGCGGCGTGAGTGTGGTGCGGTCCCGAAAGAAGGAGCGAGACGCCCCAGAGTCAAGGGTGAAGGTGAGGGAGGCCGAAGCCGACGTAGTACCTGAGAGCGCAGACTCACCAGTACCTGAGAGCGCAGACTCACCAGTACCTGAGAGCACAGACGCACTGGCACAAGAGCAGTGGCCTCACTAGCACCTAGAGCAGCAGTACCAATGCCCGGGTCGGGCGGGAAGCACCGGTAACAGTCACCCTCATCACTAATAGTCACAGCATACATGGCAGCAAGGATAGCATCAAAGTCAAGATCAAAGATAGCTACGCCTGCCCTAGACAGCTCTCCCCAGCGGAGGATCTCAGTGGCCTCCGGGAACTGCTGACGCCAAGCGTCTGTTAGGCGGCCAAAGCAGCGCTGGGTGGGGTGGGCACCCCCACACTGCTCACCCGCGCGGTCGCTGGTGCGAAGGACGTAGGTGCAGGGACCAAAACCCCCACTACGCTGACGCTGGGTGTACCACTCACAGAGCTGCTGAGGGGTGGGGACGTCGCGAGAACGCTGCTGCTGCTGGCGCTGACCACCCCCAGTGCTGCTCCGCTGCGAAGCGCCACTCCGACCACCTCCACCACCTCCACCTCCGCCACCTCCACCTCCGCCACCACCGCCGCCCCCGCCTGTACCGCCGCCGCCTCCGACGCCTCCACCTCCACTGCCGCCACCAGTACCTCCACCCCCGCCACCACCTCCACCGCCACCCCCACTCCCTCCGCCGCCTCCACCTCCACCTCCACTGCCCCCGCTAGCTCCACCCGCGCCCTTGCCCCCCTTGCCCTTGCTTGGGCGGCGTCTCCCGCTAGGGGCAGACGCCGCACCGACCGACTCAAGACCAACGAGGTCGGCCGCACCGGCAGAGGCGACAGAGGGCAAGAGAGGGGAAGGAGAACACCCCTCAAAGATGGGGGTGCGAGGGTCACCACGAGAGGCTCCTACAGCGACGATGCTCTTCTCCGCTGCTAGGAGGGCCTTCTCTAAGAGTTCGACAGTGAGAGTGGTGGGACAGACCGAGAGGAAGTGGTCCCTGACTACACGAAGGGAGTCAGGGAGGCGGGTGACTAGAAAGTAGAGAGTGATGTACATGGGGGGGGGGGTTCTTGGCGCAGAACTCAGCAGGAAGCGCGGCGCGGTAGCGGGTGTCACTAGTGCAGAGGTGCGTAATGAGGTCAGCGACTGTGGGAAAGGCAGCAAGGTCAGGGAAGAGGAAGGGTAGCATGAGGCGGCTCAGTGCAGCAGTGGCAGGGGAAGAGTAGCGCGCAACTACAGCGCCGTACAAGGTTTGAGCACTCACGTACTGACTAAAGTGCGCGCGCTCAGCGGTAGGCAGGTGGCGACGCACAGCAAGATGTGCAGCAGCATCGCGTGTGGCCCACTGGGAGCGAACAGTGGGGTCAGCATCAGCAGTAGGGGCAGGGACGGCGCCAGAGGTGAGGTCAAAGAGAGAAAGACCGTCTGCCCTATCGCACTGTAAGAACAGCTGCAGGTCGTCGACCCAGACCTCAAAGTCAATGGCACGACCCTCAGCGTCAAAAGCTAGGACACTAGGGGTAGCCATGACAGCAGTAGACTAGCAGTAGTGACTGTAGGACAGGGGCAGTGCACTGACAGAGGTGCCGTTCTCACCAGACAGAGCGGTTCGGGCAGCTCAGCAGCATAGCAACACGGCAACACTGCTGCTCGGCCGGCCCAGCAGCAACAGCAGCTCCGCGGGACCAGCGGCTCGGCTCCTCAGACGGCTCGGGCGGCTCGGGCGGCGCAGGCGGCTTGGGCGGCTCAGGCGGCTCGGGCGGCTCGGGTACTCAGCGGCATAGGCGGCTCGGGCGGCTCGGCTCCTCAGCGGCTCAGCGGCTCGGGTACTCAGCGGCACAGGCGGCTCGGGCAGCGTAGGCGGCTCGGGCGTCTCGAGTGGCGCAGGTGGCACGGGCGGCTCGGGCGGCTCAGGTGACTCGGGCAGAGCGGGCGGTGCAGGGCGGTGGGGCCGCAGTGGAGAATGGCGGCAGGGCCGCAACGAAGGGCGGCAGAGCCGCGACGAAGGGCGGCAGAGGCCGCGACAAAGGGCGGCAGGGCCGCCAAGAAGGGCGGCGGGGCCGCGTTAAGAGAGGCGGCGGGGCTGCAAAGCAGGGTGGCGGGGCCGCGACAAAGGGCGGCAGGTGCCGCAACGAGGGGCGGCAGGGCCGCGACGACAGAGGCGGCGGGGGCCGCGACGAAGGGCGGCAGGGCCGCGTCGAGAGAGGCGGCGGGGCCGCGACGAGGGGTAGCGGGGCCCCGACGAAGTTCGGGGCCGCGAAGTAGGGCGGGGCCGCAAGGAGAGAGGCGAGGCCGCGACAAGAGAGGCGGGGCCGCGACGAGAGAGGCGGGGCCGCGTCAGAGAGGCGGGGCCGCGACGAGAGAGGCGAGGCCGCAACGAGAGAGGCGGGGCCGCGACGAGAGAGGCGGGGCCGCGACGAGAGAGGCGGGGCCGCGACGAGAGAGGCGGGGCCGCGACAGAGGGCGGGGCCGCGACGAAGGGCGGAGCCGCGACGAAGGGCGGGGCCGCGACGAGAGAGGCGGGGCCGCGACGAAGGGCGGGGCCGCGACTAGAGAGGCGGGGCCGCGACGAAGGGCGGGGCCGCGACGAGAGAGGCGGGGCCGCAACGAAGGGCAGGGCCGCGACTAATCGACGGGCGGCAGGGCCTCTAGGGCAGCTCGACAATAAGAGAGAGGGCCCGGAGCGCGACTCAGGGCGAGCGCGCTTCGGGCAGGAAAAAAGATCGATGTGGTGGGCCCTATGCACAGTTCCCACGGGGGAACCTGCTCGATACCATGAGAAAAGTAGAACGAGAATGAATGAACTATGGAATGAAAGTGATACAAGTATGCAACCCTAGAAGTGTGTACCCCCTATGGGCTACCCCACTATAGCCTACAGAATATTATAATTTGACAAAGCCGATGTTCCTAAAAAAATTTAAACACTGCTTCGAGATCTACTAAGTGTTGCTGCTTGTCGCGACTGTAAACGAGGATGTCGTCGAGGTAAACTATCACGCATTTATCTAAGAGTGGCCTAAACGCCTCGTTCATGGTCATCTGGAATGTTGCGGGCGCGTTGGTCAGCCCAAAGGGCATTACCGTGTACTCGAACGACCCGTACCTAGTCCTAAATGCTGTCTTGGCGCAATCCGACGGTTCGACCCAAATCTGATGGTAACCCCCCCCATAAGTCTATTTTCGAAAATACCTGTGCTGTTCGCAGTTGGTCGATCAGTTCGTCGGCGCGGGGAATGGGGTACCGCGATTTGACTGTTACCCTGTTAAGCGCTCGGTAATCGATGCACATGCGAAACCCTCCGTCTTTTTTTGGTGTGAACAGGATCGGAGCGGCGAACGATGACGAGCTCGGTCGGATAAACTGCTTCTCTAACAAATAATCTAACTGCTTCCTCAGTTCGTCGAGCTCGGGCTATGTCAGCCTGTTTGGCGCTGTACAGTTGGCTGTGCCCCCGGTTCTAACTCGGTCCTATGGTCATGCGCCCGCTGAGGTGGCAGCCCTTGCGGTAAGTCGTCTGGAAAAATCCTCGGGTACCGTTTCAACAGTTCCTGAAGTTCGGGCGGTACTGCTGCCAACAGTTTCTGAAAATCGCTCGGCTGCTCCTCTTCTTCCACTAATGCTATATCCACTGCGTACACGTTAGCTCCAGCGGCGACAACCCGTTTCATCGTGATGGCGTTGACGTGGACCGTTGAAGACTCGGGCGATTGCCAGCGAGGTAGTTCGACCCAGTTACCACTACTTCGCACGGTGCAGCTACCCGTCGTCCAGTCAATTCGCAGGTTATACCGTCGCAGCCAATCACGCCCCAATAAAATATCATGCCCATCCAGTGTTGTTGCGAGCATTTCCTGTGTAAACCCGAAATTCCCTCCGCAGCGGACTTTTACTTGCTCCACCTTTTCCCGTATGGCCAGTGGCGTGCCGTCGACTAAGCGTGCGTCTATCTCAGGTAAGCAACGGTTAAGTGTTAACTGTAGTTTTCGTGCGGTTGCGGTATTAACTAAATTGTGACTCGCTCCTCCATCAATAAAAATCTTCACTGCTGCTCCCTGTATTTTCTCGTGGATCAGTACTGGGCAATCCGTCGCTGTACCCTCCTTATTCATCCGAGCCCGATCGATGACGTGAATCGGTACTGTGACTTGGTGAGGGTCGGTGCGGTTGGGCGAGCAGGCAGTCTCGTCGGTAGTTGGCCCAACTTCTTCTGACTGCTGGCGTTTCCCTGCCACTGAGACTCCCTCCCCTGCTCTGCTCCTCGGCGCCTCAGCTCCTCTGGGCATTCGCTCTTGCGATGGCCCGGCCTGTTGCAAGCAAAGTAGCGCCCCTTAAACGGTGCGGCAGCTGCATTCGTTGCAACGGGGTGTACAGTGGCGTGCTCGGTCGGTCCCCGAGGGCGATGTCCGTAGTAGGACCCCGGTCTCGGTCGGCGTAGAATGTCAATTTTCTCGGCGAGCGCGAGAATCTCGTTGAAGTTGGAGAGTCCGCGCAGCATGATTCCGTGCGAGATATCCGGCTTCAGCCCTCTGACGTAACGGTCCACCCGCCCCGCTTCGTGCATGTAGCCGACCTGCTCGCAAAGTGCGAGAAAACCGCTCGTATAATCTTGAACCGACCCGAGCTGCCGCCAAGTGCGCAGTCTCTGACGCGCCGAAATGGAAGCCGCAATCGGCTCGAAGCGCGCCCGAAGCCCTGCGCACCACGCATCCCACGTGCTGTATTAGGCGATCTCGCAGAACAAACTCCAGGTGTCAGTTGGACCCGTGGGCCCTTCCTCGTGCGACGGTGGCTCGTAGGCGCATGGCGACGTCACGATGACTCGCCACCAGTCCATGGTGGGGCCCCTTAGCAGCGAAACTGCATACCGAATCTTTGCGGCGTCCGACTCGACGTAGTTCGCGTCGAAGAAGACGTTCATCGTGAAGACCCACGATTGAACCGTCGGACCTCCACGTTGGCTTGGGTCGAAGCAGGGCGGGCGTTGTGGCTTGAGCGGCATTGGTGCCATAATGGCCTGTTCGCCACCTGCCGCCGCGAATTCCACGTGCCGACGGGCTTCACGGGGCTCCCGCGGGCTTGGTGCGACCCTGCTTCCTCCCATGCCAGGCATCGGCTGGGCGACGCCATCACTGGCTGCGCCTGAGCGTTGTCCCATGCTGTCGTGTTTCGTTGGTGTGCCGGACGAAATGATGATCGCCACGTTCGATTGTGCAGATGCATTTGTCGGTGCGTGTGATGTCGCTGGAATGTTCACCGTGGATTGTTGACGGGCGGAGTCACGTTCCGCCGTGAGCGTCCCGATTTCGAGCGCCGAGTCTTCAAGTTCGCGCACGAGACGATCAAGCTGCTCCTGCGTCAATGTGGCAAGCGTGAAATCGGCCATGGCGGGGGTGTCGGGCGAGCTCAGCGAGAGTCTTGGTCGTGGCCGTGCGTGCTTACGAGAGAGCACTACGAGCGGCGGTGCTGTATTGCTGAGAGACGTCTACCCCCCCCAAAAATTGAGATAGTGGGGAAGCGAAAATGTGGGTGCGGTCCGAGAGGAGATCGTAGGCTCTGAATACCAAGTGTTACGAGTGCAATTCAGTGAATGAACGAGAATTGCACTATCGAAGCAAGAATCCAATGAGCAAAGGCATGAGCGAAGAATATATAGCGAAACTACAGTGGTAACGGTAATGGACTGTGGTTGTCGCGCAACGGGCCTGGGACTGAGTTTTGGGAAAGTGTCGAAGCGGAGGCCCGAAGTGCGAGTTACCAGCCGAGCCGTGAGGTTGGGGTGCGATGTGCGAAAGTGGCGGGCTGATTGTCGATGCGAGGATCGCGAGTGGTAACGGTGCTGACTGTGGTGCTACAGTGATGTACGCGTTGAGCAGGGATGCGAAGTAAGGAAAAGTGATTTTCCTTACAGTGATAACCATTTTGCATTTGGCTAAAGTTAATGTTTTTTTTTTTTTCGAAAGGAAGGTAAACGAACGGTAATTGAACAATTTTATATCGCCTCTGTTTTCCTCACGAACCGTGTTTCCAAAAAGTTCAATACGGTTCCGTTTCGTTTGCGATGTCGCATGGTTATTCACAAGCAGAGTGCGAATCCCAACGACGTATTGTTTTTGCAAAGATAACTACTACAACGGGAGATAGACTACAGGGTAGGATCGCAGAGTTCGTTCCTCAGTCGTTCACTTGCGCATTCACAGGGAAAGTTGATAAGAGTTCACTAGCAACAGTTAACAACAATAGATTGAAAATGGCAACGCATCGTTGTCTACATCAGGAGCTAGCATACAAGCAAGTCGACTGCTAGCGCACGGTCAACCGCGTTCCAGCACGACATGGTCGACCGCGCTCCAGCAGTGCAAAGTCGCGATATGCCAGCGCTGCAAGTCGACGGCGTGCCAACGCTGCAGCAAGGCGGCTGCACAACGTTTCACCCGCAGGACAGCAGCGCACTCGCTTCGCAGGTGCTCGCAGTTGATTGGCGTGCTGTGCCTCGTCACCTGCACAATGCAGACGCCAAATATACCACATGCCCACGTCTGCACCTGATCCTTTAGGTCGAATTCGCCAAAACCACCGAGGTCGACTTCACGCACTACCACAGAGGTCGGCTTCGCCAAAACCACCTTGGCGGCTGTCGCGCACCTCCGCAGAACTTCGTCGCCAAGGTAACTTGGTCGACCTGGAAACCACCAGGTCGGCGTCGACTTCTTTGGGGAAAGTCGACCATAAGTTGTACGTGCTCGTTGACTGCCCAAGTCGAGGATCACCAAAGTCGGCCACTACCCAGGTCGGCGCCACTCCTCTTTGTGCCCGTCGACCGCCTACGTCGACGACCACCACCTGTCGACTTCCCCAAGTCGATCACACCCCCGGTCGACCAGCTCCAGGTCGACCAGACCAGCCGTCAGGCGACCACACCAAGTCGGCTGCATCATGTCGGAGTCCTTCTCAGGTCGACGTCTCCCCTCGTTGACTACGAGGGTGAAGTCGGCTGCCTCATCGGCAGCTTAGCAGTGGCCCTTGTGCAGGTCGACCTAGCCCATCGACCAGCTCGCCCGAGTCGGCGTCGCCCACTGCTGTAAGTCGGCTGCACCTCCCGCACACCCGACGACGAAGTCGGCTCCGCCCAAGTGAGGACGGAGCCAACCACAACCCCCGTTGACAGTTCCGACTATAGGACCCACCGGTAAGGAGGACCCACGGGACTCTCTAACGGCACTGTAACTCTAATCATTGAGCAACCTGAATGTTTTTTCACATTTGGGTGACTAATGTTGAAATACACCTATCAAATCGGCTTGGTTCGTGCGCAAAGATAAGTTCGACACCTATGATTAGTACCGTATTTGCCGACAAATGCATAGAATGCGCATAATTTCCCATAGGCGTAGGAAAAGGCATTATACAACCTGAAAGTTTTCGCATATTTGGGTGGCTCATGTTCAAATACACCTATCAAAGCAAAATCGGCTTGGTTCGTGCGCAAAGAATGTCAGAATCAACAGTGCAGGAAATGACTAGAAGCGAGGCAATACATGTTGTCAGAATGTTATATTATCTAGCCTGCAGTGGGGTGCTCTATAGCGAGTACAACCCAGTTAGGGTTTGCTATTTGTATCTCAACTGCTGCTAGTGAACCCCTCTCTTACTGTTTCTAACTTTCTGTCTGCTAAACTTCGACATGCTATCAGAGCAGGTCGACCCCCTTGGGTCGATCCTGTGGGTGGGCCCCACCCGATGCTTCCGCTGTGCTTCTACTGTCACGCGCCCCTGGCGCGTGGCCCTTACTTCCTGCCGCGCGCCCCGAGCGCGCGGCGTTTTTTCATCCCGCCGTGCGCTTGGGGCGCGCGGCGGTTTTCTGCCCGCCGTGCGCCCTGAGGCGCGCGGCGGCTTTCTGCCCCGTCACTCCGCGCGTCGCCCCCGGGAGGCGCTGCGGCGGGCGACGGGGACCCGGGCGTCGCCCCTCGTTGCCCGTCGTGGCCTGCACGACCTACGTAGGGCCCGCGCGCGGCTCGTCTAGCCTGCGCGCGGCCCGTACGGGCTGCGCCTAGCCAGGGCGCGCCTCAGACCGCCCGCGCGCGGCTCGTATGGGGTGCGCCAGGCCCGTGGGCGGCCCGTTCTTCTCTGCCCCTGCGCTGCCCGGTGTCACCCGTGCTTCTCACGGCGCCCCACCCCTGCTGCTGCCCGTTCACCTGGATTAGGGTTTGGGGGTGGGGGTTATGGGTGTGCAGTTTCTGTGTGCCGTCCCCTGCTCCTCCTCCTCCTCCGTCTCCCAGTGCTGCAGCTGCCGCTGAGGGGGGTGGATCTGTTGGAGCCATCAGAGTGGTACTAAGGGGTGAAGGGGGAGTGGAGCTCGAGGTGAAGTAGTGGGTGTGTGGGGGGTGTGTGGGGCAGTTGGAGGAGGCTGAGAGGAGGCTGCTGTCTTGTCGTCCGCAGCACCTGTAGTCCGGGGCGCTGTCCTGGTAGCCCAGAGAGCCTGCTGCGCCTGTCGCCCATGGGTCCGTTGCTCCTGTAGCTCTTCGTAGCCCGTGAGCCAGTTACTCCAGTAGTCCGGGGCGCTGTCCCGGTAGCCACTGTGCCAGCCGCTCCTGTTACCCCTGTGTCTGCAGCTTCAGCCGTCGTCTCCCATCTTCTCTCCTCTCACAGTCCCTCCTCTTCCTCACTTGCCCGCTACGACTACCACTAGCTTTGCTCATAATTGTGAACTATTGCTATGCTTGCTCATTGTGCTGATTACACCCCACTTTGGCTATGGGGGTGTGTCAGAATGTTATATTATCTAGCCTGCAGTGGGGTGCTCTATAGCGAGTACAACCCAGTTAGGGTTTGCTATTTGTATCTCAACTGCTGCTAGTGAACCCCTCTCTTACTGTTTCTAACTTTTAGTCTGCTAAACTTCGACACATGTTTGTATAGGCTAACCCTAATTGGGGTTGTACCCCGTACTGAGTAACCCACTATAGCCTAGCAAGTAGAATGCATTTTCACACACCCACATAGGCTAAGTGGGGGACAATCAGATGGTCACAAAACCAGTCAAGCAAGAGAACAAGCAAAGCAAAGCTCAGGGTGGATCTAAAGGACACCACACAATCTGAGCACAAGCAAGCGGTCACAAGGCCAGTTCACATGCAGAGGTATAATAACAAGGCAGTCTACTGATACAACCTAGCAAGAGTAAATATGCAGGTATAAAGATATATATCAGTGTACAACAAGTGCAAGTCAAGCAACCAGCAGGTGAGGCAGAGTGAGCACAAGCCCAAGAGTAGTGCAGAAACGCTGATGATCACTAGGCAGAAGGGCCTTGGTGAACACATCAGCAGTGTTGGCCCGCGAGGCCACGTAGGGAAGGCGGAGCTGACGACGCTGCTGCAGCTCACGTGCAAGGAAGTAGCGAAGAGCAATGTGCTTCGTTCTGTGCTCCAGTCTTTGCTCGCGACACAAGGCAAGCATTGCTTTGTTGTCGACATACAGAACTGGAGGAGAACGAGGCTGCTCCCCCAAGTCGGTCAGCAGGTAGGTCAGCCAGCGTAACTCCTGTGCAGCCATGGCCTCAGCGTAGATCTCGGCCTCACAGCTGGAACCAAGCACCGAAGTCGAGCGAGTGGACCTCCACGAGTCAGAGCCAAGTCTGAAGGTGTACCCCTGTGACAAATGCTGAGTCGCCTGGTCGTCGGCTCAAGAAGCATCGGAGTATCCTGTGAGTACCACCACCAAGCATCGACCCAAGGGCAAACTCACCCCCGACGGACGGAGGACAGGCAGGGTCAGGGTCAGAAACGAGACTCGCAAGGTAGTCTAGGCGGTACGCCGCAACAAAGTCGACTAGCTCAGCGACTAAGGCAGACGCAGCAGGAGACGAGAATGTAGGGTCCGTCACAACCGTTGCAAGAAAACGAGTAACAGTCGAACTGGACACACGAGCAAGGTTAGACGGAGGGTCAGCAAAAACAGGAAGAGAAGACAAAGGAGGTGACGGCAGGACAACACGCTATGGAAGAGAGGAAGGACGGAGTGTCATATCGTGAGTGCAGCTTCAGTATCAGTTTTCAACTGAGAAAGGTTAGAAGGATTTATCCGAGGCCGATTCGACTTCTCTTGGGCCTGGAACCTTCCACTAAGCCTTTGCAGCTGTGTAGGCTTCATCTCTGGGGAACAGGAAGCCTTTAAAAAGTGCTTCTGGGAGAGAATATTAACTCCTCGGAACGCTCGACCCGTATTAGCGCTCTGGAGCAGGGTCCCCATAATACCCGGTACCGGTTTAATTTATGACTCTCCCTTAGTAAAGGCTTGAAACCCACGAGGAGTAATATTCTTACTTGTCGGGGTATACGGCAGGAGTTTCCCGGTCGGTGCAGGGTTTTGTTTCACAGATCCTCCATTAGTCTCGGCGATTTCCCCTGGTGCCGGCTGGTCGTGACGTTTTAAATTTGTGCCACCATATTCTCCTTTTTTCGCCCTCTCCGAAGTTGCCACGTTGTCCGTTTTCTGCTTCGGGGGTGCCGCACTGTTCTTGTCCTTCAGCTCCGCACACCTTTGAGGAAATTAGAACGAGAAAATGGAATGAACTATGAATGAAGTGAGTACATAAAGGATACCCTAATTGGGTTGTACCCCCTATGGGATACCCCACTATAGCCTACACAACAGCAAAAGCTATAATGTTCTAACACACCCCCATAGGCAAAGTGGGGGAGAACAAGGGGTCACAAGACCAGTCAAGCAAAGCACAGCAAAGCTCAGGGTGGATCACAAAGTCACCACACATTCCGAGCACAAGTTCAAGGCCAGAAGGCCAGTTCACATGCAGAAGCACACACACACACATATATATGTATACATATATATATATAAGAGGCTAAGCAAGGAAGAGCAAGAGTATATATATGTGACAGTACAAGCAAAGGTCAAGAAGTGAGCAAGTGAGGCAAGACAGGTACAAGACCAAGCTGAGTACAGAAGCGCTGATGATCACAAGGCGCAAGTGCCTTGGTGAAAACATCAGCAGTGTTGGCCTCAGAAGCCACGTACGCAAGCCGCAACTGAGCTCGCTGCTGTAGCTCACGAGCAAGGAAGTAGCGAAGAGCAATGTGCTTTGTTCTGTGCTCCAGTCGCTGCTCTCGACACAAGGCCAGCATGGCCTTGTTGTCTACGTACAGGACTGGAGGAGAACAAGGCGGCTCTCCAAGGTCGGTCAGAAGGTAGGTGAGCCAGCGAAGCTCCTGGGCTGCCATGGCCCCGGCGTAGATCTCAGCCTCACAACTGGAGCCGAGAACAGAAGACGAGCGAGTATCCCGCCACGAAACAGAGCCGGAACCAAGGCTGAAGGTGTAACCCTGTGATGACCGCTGCGTAGCCTGGTCGTCAGCCCAAGAAGCGTCCGCGTGCCCAGTGAGGACCACTGGACTACGCCCTCTAAGCACTAGCCCCATGCCCGACGTACTGCACAAGTAGCGCAACACCCTCTTCGCTGCAGCCATGTGCTCTGGTCGGTGTCTCCCAGGAGCAACATAGCGTGCAAGAATGCTAAGAGGGTATGCAAGGTCAGGTCGTGTGTAGGTCATCAGGTACATGAGGCAGCCAACGAGCTTTGGATACGGGCCACTTGACTCTACGGACTCATCCGAAGGCAGAGCTGAGAGTGAGTGGCGAGTAGGCAGAGGAGTGGCCTGAGGCGAGGAGTACGTGAAGCCGAAGCGCTGAAGGGCCTGCTGCACCATGTGTGACTGAGTCAAGGTAATGGTGCGGCGTGCTCTGTCCCGGGTGATCTGCAAGCCAAGGTAGCTCCGCAGTTCACCCAGGTCTGTGCACGTGTGTCTCTTCTGCAGCTCGGACTTCACGTAGGCGAGTCTAGTAGTGTCAGCTGTGGCAAAGACCAAGTCGTCGACGTACACGAGGATGTAGAACGGCGGCAGAGAGGTGTCGGTGCGCAGAAACAGCGACGGGTTGGCAGAAGAAGGAGCATACCCAAGAGCCGCAAGTGTAGTCCTCAGTGTGTCGTGCCACTCATGTGGCGCCTGGCGGAGACCGTAGACTGGACGCCGGAGACTCCACTGGGTACCAAGAGGGAAAGACCCAGTGAAGCCAAGTGGACAGCGCAGCCAGATCTCCTCGTGCAGGCTGCCCTGCAAGAAAGCAGTGTTGAAGTCAAGAGAGTCCAGCTCGTAGTCACGGTGTGCAGCAACGTGCAGCAGTACCCGAAGAGTGGTCATCTTTGGGGTGGGGGAGAAGGTCTGAAAGTAGTCAACTCCCTGCCGCTGTCTGAAGCCACGAGCCACGTAACGCGCCTTGAAGACAGGCGGAGAGCCCGGCGGCCGCTTCACCCTGAAGATCCACATGCCACTGACGATGTTCGCCCCAGGAGGGGGGACAACGTCAACGTAGGTGCCTGTGGACTTCAAAGAAGCCATCTTTGCATCCATAGCTACCTACCACTGAGAGGAGTAGGGACCCTCTATCGCCTCCGCGTAAGAGCGCGGAGTCGGGATGTCAAGTGCATCCGGGTCTCCCTCAGGGGTAAGCAGTACGGACACGAGATGAGGTGAAGCAGCTGCCAGATACTGGAACTCCTCCTGCCTGTCCTCAAGGACGTCCGTGCCAAGGGCACACTTACCCCCGACAGACGGAGGACAGACAGACGCAGACTCAGCAACACGACTAGTAGCGTAGTCTAGGCGACAGCGAGCAGCAAAGTCGACGAGCTCAGTAACGAGAGCAGACGCAGCAGTAGACTCGAAAGAAGGGTCAGTGACGACAGTAGCCAGGAGACGCGTGACAGTAGGACTGGCAGCACGAAGAGAGTCCGACTCCGGGTCGGCAAGTGCAGGAAGAGAGGACTCAGGAGGAGAAGGCAAAGGGGCACGCAGAGGAGCAGTAGACGGACGTAGAGACATCCGGTGCGTGCCAGGGACAGGAGGAGGACGCTGACGCGAACCGCGACCACTAGCGCGAGCAGCACGAACAGGCCACGCAGGACGAGACGCAGGCTCACGACGCTCAGTAAGACCTCCAGTAGGACCAGCGTAGGGAGAAGGAGCAGGCAAAGGGGAGGCAGGCTGTAGTTGTGACTGTGACGGGACAGGCTGTGGACCCTCTAAGGGAGGAGGAGGACCAGTAGAAGGTGGACGACCAAGAAACTGCTGCAGGAGTGGAACGAAGTACGGCCGAGGCCGCGTGGCGACGCCAGAAGCAGCAGGGACAGCACCAGTACCCCCAGCAGGAGTACCCGCTCCAGCAGCACCACCAGCAGCTCCAGAACCTCCAGCAGCACCAGGAGCACCCCCAGCAGGACCGCCAGTGGTAGTCTCAGCGCCAACACCCTCAGCAGCACCAACTCCAGTCGAACCTGCAGGCCCAGCAGCTCCAGTACTCCCAGGACGAGCACCTCCGGGAACCGCGACAGCAGCACCTTCAGTAGCCGACGAACCTCCAGCACCAGCAGCACGGCTCCAGCGCCGGGCAAACCACTCGCGCAGCTCCAGTGGGGAGAGTGGCTCCCGGCGAGACGAAGCACCCGGAGAACCTCCAGGAAGAGCACCTCCGGGCTCAGCACCCCCAGGCCCAGCACCCCAAGGCTCAGCACCCCCAGGCGTAGCACCCCCAGGCTCAGCACCCCCAGGCTCAGCTCCCCCACGCTCAGCACCCCCAGGCTCAGCACCCCTAGGCTCCGCACCCCTAGGCCCAGCACCCCCATGCTCGGCACCCCTAGGCTCCGCACCCCCAGGCCCAGCACCCCCAGGCTCAGCACCCCTAGTCTGAGCACCCCCATTCTCAGCACCCCTGGGCTCAGCACCCTCAGCAGCACCAGAGTCACCAGTGACCTCGATAGGCTCGACTGCGTCTACCTGGGACACACCTGAAGGGGCAGGACCCTGAGGGGGGAGGGGGTCTACCGGGGGGGGACCTGGTACAAGGAAGAGCGGGGGCGGGGGGAGGGACGGAGTGCGGTAGGGGAAGAGGCGGTTGTAGGGGATCGACTCGTCAAACGTGACGTCCTGGGAGGACAGAACACGGCGAGAGGTGGGGTGGTAGAACTGCCACCCAGACGCGTCGGGGGGGAACCCCAGGAAGACGCAAGGAGCAGCGCGAGGGGACAGTTTGTCCGCAGACAAGTTGCGGACAAACGCCCGAGATCCCCAGACCCGGAAGGCCGACGCATCGCCAACCTTCCCCGTCCACAGCAGGGCTGGGGAGGTCTCCGGCCTGGAGACCCTGGGGTGAAGGTTGATCTGATGCGCCGCGTACCTGACCGCAAACGGCCACAGAAAATGGGGGGCATCCGCATGCATCATAGACGTACGAGTGACGTCCATGACCATGCCAATGCGGCGCTCAGCAATCCCATTTTGCTGCGGTGACTCCGGAAGCGTGAAGGTCTGACGGATGCCTCGTGCACGACAGTAGGCTCGCAGAAGGCCAGAGGAGAACTCTCCGCCTCTGTCCGAGTGCAGACGCAGAACAGGAAAGTCCGAGCCAAAGCTCTGCGTGAGCTGGAGACGAGCTGTGCGGATCCAGTCGATCAGCACCTCAGTGACATCACCCTTGCTGCGCAAGGGGAAGACTGTGGTGTAACGCGAGTAGTCGTCACTAACGAGCAGGAAGTAGCGCTCGTGACCCTGTCCACGGACGCGGGCTGGGCCCCACACGTCCATGTGAAGCGTCTGCAACGAGGCCTCTGTCGGAGGAAACTGGGAGGCGTGAGGGGCAGCCCGCTGGCGCCCCTTGACACAGGGGACACAGGCAGGGCCAGGGCCCTGAGGAAGGGGAGGGAGGGACCGGGGGTGACCAAACACAAGAAGACGGGAGGCCATGCCCCTGAACTGAAGCATAGAGGGGTGACCAAGACGGTGGTGCCGGAGGAGAGTCTCGTGAGACAAGAGACGACACGAACAGGGGGCAGACTCAGGACCAGACCTGGACGCTGCAGCAAACACCTGACCGGACGAAGTGACTCTACCAGACTCAGTAACGGGAGGAGACGCAGTGGTCAGTGTGTACAGGCTTGACCCCGGCTGACGGGTAAACGCAGCCAGGTGCCGGCCTGTGCTAGCCTCTGTACAGTGCGTCACCCGCTGACGCGCAGGAGTGAACTGGTGCACTCCCCCATCCTGTAGATCAGCACCACTCACCAGGTTCGTAGAGAACGAGGGGAGGTAGAGACCAGACAGGGTGCCAGAGGGAGCCGCCGGACACGGGAGGACTGTGGAGAAGCGAGAAAGGACAGGACCCCCTGAGGGGTCAGCCAGAGACACAGCAACCGACCGACTCAGCGGTGTGAGTGTGGTGCGGTCCCGAAAGAAGGAGCGAGACGCCCCAGAGTCAAGGGTGAAGGTGAGGGAGGCCGAAGCCGACGTAGTACCTGAGAGCGCAGACTCACCAGTACCTGAGGACGCAGACACACTAGCACCTAGAGCAGGAGCGTCACAAGCACCTAGGGCAGCAGCCGCACCAGTACCTAGAGCAGTAGTCTCAATGCCCGGATCGGGCGAGAAACACCGGTAATAGTCACCCTCATCACTAATAGACACAGCATACATGGCAGAGAGAATAGCATCAAAGTCAAGATCAAAGATGGCAACACCCGCCCTAGACAGCTCGCCCCAGCGAGGGATCTCTGAGGCCTCTGGGAACTGGTGACGCCACGCGTCCGTCAGGCGACCAAAGCAGCGCTGGGCGGGGTGTGCACCCCCACACTGCTCACCCACACGGACGCCGGTGCGCAGGACGTAGGTGCACGGACCAAAACCCCCACCCCGCTGGCGTGCAGTGTACCACTCACGGAGCTGCTGAGGGGACAGGGTCCCACGACCGCGCTGCAGCGGCTGGCGCGAGGCACCACCGGAGCCACCCCTCTGCGAAGACCCGCGACCGGCTCCACCGCCACCCCCACCGCCTCCGCCGCCTGCGCCGCCTCCGCTACTACCGCCACCTCCGCCGCCGCCTCCACCGCCGCCTCCTCCGCCACCTCCGCTCCCACCGCCACCGCCGCCGCCGCCTCTGCCTCCACTTCCGCCGCCGACCCCCCCACCCCCACCTCCACTCCCACCGCCACCCCCACTCCCCCCACCGCCTCCACCTCCACCTCCACCGCCCGCTCCTCCAGCTCCCGTGCCCCCCTTGCCCTTGCCAGTGCGGCGTCTCCCGCTAGGGGCAGACGCCGCACCGACCGACTCAAGACCAAGGAGGTCGGCCGCAGCAGCAGAGGCAACAGAGGGCAGCAGGGGGGAGGGGGAACACTCCTCAAAGATGGGGGTGCGCGGGTCACCTTGAGAGGCTCCTACAGCGACTATACTCTTCTCCGCTGCTAGGGCCTTCTCGAGGAGGTCGACAGTGAGTGTGGTGGGACAGATTGAGAGAAAGTGGTCCCTGACTACGCGAAGGGAGTCAGGAAGGCGAGTGACTAGGAAGTACAGAGTGATGTACATGGGGGGGGGGGGGTTTGGCGCAGAAGTCAGCAGGAAGTGCAGCGCGGTAGCGAGTGTCACTAGTGCGGAGGTGCGTAATGAGGTCAGCTACGGTGGGTAAGGCAGCAAGGTCAGGGAAGAGGTACGGTAGCATGAGACGGCTCAGTGCAGCAGTGGCAGGGGAGGAGTAGCGTGCGACTACAGCGTCGTACAAGGTCTGAGCACTCTTGTACTGACTAAAGTGCGCACGCTCAGAGGTAGGGAGGTGGCGACGCACAGCAAGACGTGCAGCACCGTCGCGCGTGGCCCACTGGGAGCGAACCGTGGCGTCAGCATCAGCAGCAGGGGCAGGGGAAGCGCCAGAGGTAAGGTCAAAGAGAGAGAGGCCGTCTGCCCTATCGCATTGTAAGAACAGCTGCAGGTCATCTACCCAGACCTCAAAGTCAATGGCCCGACCCTCAGCGTCAAAAGCGAGGACACTAGGGGTAGCCATGACGACAGACGCGTAACAGTGCAAACAGTAGGGTGAGGGCAGTGCAGTGAAAAAGGTGCTGTGCTCACCAGACTGGGCAGATCGGGCGGTCTAGAAGTAGGGCAGCTCGGCGGCCGGTGGCTCGGCTGCTGGGCGGCTCGGCTGCTGGGCGGCTCGGCTGCTGGGCGGCTCGGTTGCTCGGCGGCTCGGCTGCTGGGCGGCTCGGCTGCTGGGCGGCTCGGCTGCTGGGCGGCTCGGCTGCTCGGCGGCTCGGCAGCTCGGCGGCTCGGCGGCTCGGATGCTGGGCTGCTCGGCGGCTCGGCTGTGGGGCGGCTCGGCGGCTCGGCTGCCGGGCGGCCCGGCGGCTCGGCGGCTCGGCTGCTGGGCGGCTCGGCGGCTAAGTGGCTCGGGTGCTGGGCGACCCGGCGGCCGGGTGGCTCGGTGGCGCTGGCTCAGGGCGGCGCGGCGGTCGTAGGTAGAGCGGCGGGCGGGCCGCAGGTAGGGCGGCGGGCGGGCCGCAGGTAGGGCGGCGGTAGGGCCGTAGGTAGGGCGGCGGTAGGGCCGTAGGTAGGGCGGCGGGCGGGCCGCAGGTAGGGCGGCGGGTGGGCCGCAGGTAGGGCGGCGGTAGGGCCGCAGGCAGGGCGGCGGAAGGGCCGCAGGTAGGGCGGCGGGCAGGCCGCAGGTAGGGCGGCGGGATGGCCGCAGGTAGGGCGGCCGGTGGGCCGCAGTTAGGGCGGCGTGTGGGCCGCAGGTAGGGCGGCGGGTGGGCCGCAGGTAGGGCGGCGATAGGGCCGCAGGTAGGCGGCGGTAGGGCCGCGGGCGGACCGTAGGTAGGCGGCGGTAGGGCCGCAGGCGGGCCGCAGGTAGGGCGGCGGGTAGGGCCGCAGGTAGGGCGGCGGGTAGGGCCACAGGTAGGGCAGCGGGCGAGCCGCATGTAGGGCGGCGGGCGGACCGTAGGTAGGGCGGCGATAGGGCCGCAGGTAGGGCGGCACGCGACGCCGCTAGGGAGGCGCCGGGCCGTGCGGCGACGGGCCGGGACAGGCGGCGCGGGGCCGGGACGGGCGGCGCGAGGGCGCCGTCGGGCCGAAACGGGCGGCGCGAAGGCGCCGACGGGCCGGGAAGGGCGGCGCGAGCCGCAGCGAAGGGGCGGCGCGGGCTGCAGCAAAGGGCGGCGGGGCCGCGGGTAGGTCGCGGGGAGGCCGCTATTGCGGCTCGACAACGTAAGAGCCCGGAGCGCGACTCGGACCGAGCGCGCTTCGGGCAGGAAAAAAAAAATGATCGATGTGGTGGGCCCTAGGCACAGTTCCCACAGGGGAACCTGCTCGATACCATGAGGAAATTAGAACGAGAAAATGGAATGAACTATGAATGAAGTGAGTACATATAGGAAACCCTAATTGGGTTGTACCCCCTATGGGATACCCCACTATAGCCTACACAACAGCATAAGCTATAATGTTCTGACAACCTTCTCTTCATTTTCCAACACGCCAAGATACGATGTCCTGTAGCGCCGCAAAATTTGCACGTCTCATTATTTGCTAGCCGCTGCTCCACATCGCCCTCGTCGTTCTCCATCGGATCGGCAGTCGTGGGTGGTGCCAATCGCCCCATGCCACTAGTTGGCTTGTTGCGTCGTGTTCCGTAGTAGCTACTGTTCAACGTGTCGAACTGTTCGATCAGTGCTGCTGGAAACTGCGCCCACGTCCCCTCGCCTTGGACTATTCTGTTGTTGATCCACTATAGAGCTGGGCCTTGTAATAGTGTTGCTGCGAGCCGTATGCGCATTGCGTCTTTTGTCGGGGTCGTGCATCCAACTACTTCGAAGTACATTTTGGTGGCGGTTGCCGACTGGTTCGCAAGGAGTTTTTCGAGTCGTGGGAGCGCCGCATGTATTTGCTTATGCTCAGCACGTAACTCCGTGATTTTTGTCAGAGGTCCACTGGTGATCCCCGATCGATCCTACGGAAGGGTTACAGGCACATTTGCCTGGGGGGTTATGGGCGCACTGACCCGCTACTGAAACAAGCCCTTTTATCCCAATGGTCTAGTGGTTGGGATTCTGAGAATTTTCTGTACTGAAATATCTCCTTTTCCCTCCATTTGGCGGTTTACAGGAAGATGCGCGACGAAAAAAATCGAATTCTAGGTGCTGGTCGACTTACTGCGAGTCAAGTTGACTTAAGGATCGACGTGCGCGAATTCTGTAGGTCGCGTAAATCTCCCTTGGGCGAAATTCGCGTCCGATCTTGGCTGTTGAGGAGAAAATCAATCTGACGCTCCAAATTCCAACTTTTTTGGGCGAAATTCTCTGGGCCGTTAAGATGAAACTCGATCGAACGGTCGAAACTCCAACCCTTCCACCAGTAAATCTGAGGGGTGTTCGAAAACCGAATCGAGGGGGACTTTGAAAAATTGCGCGGAACTGGTTTTACATACCCGTATTGGCGCTTTCGTCGTCGCCCCCACGGTTTTCTAAAGGCCGGAACTAAGCGGTTGAAGACCTCGCGTGAAAGCTGTCAGAATCCCAACCACTAGACCATTGGGATAAAAGGGCTTGTTTCAGTAGCGGGTCAGTGCGCCCATAACCCCCCAGGCAAACGCGCCTGTAACCCCCCCTAGGATCGATCGGGGATCTCACAGTGTAGCTCTACTGACACCCCCCCACACTGGGAGGCCCAGGACTGAGCATAGTGGCAACGGCCAACATGTGCATACACCGGGATTCGAACCCGAGACCGCTCTGATACCATGTCACAATCCCAACCACTAGACCATTGGGATACAAGGGCTTGTTTCAGTAGCGGGTCAGTGCGCCCATAACCCCCCAGGCAAACGCGCCTGTAACCCCCCCTAGGATCGATCGGGGATCTCACAGTGTAGCTCTACTGACAAAAACCCGCTCTGATACCAAGTGTGAGGATCTAGGATCGAGCTCAGAAAAGAGAATGTGAATTGAATGATCACCTGGGTACAACACGAGGCTATATATAGGCTCGACACAAGGCCCCGTAACCAGGTGTTACGCGAAGGTTCCGCGGGTCGCGAAGCGTCCCGAACAGATCCTTACCGAATTCGGTAGAAGGCAATTCGGTGGCCGCCGAAAAGCCAGAATTCGGTGCAAGCAACCTAGCTCGGTGCTATAACTATAATAAAATATAGGAAAGCACCTAGCCTAGGAAATCAAGCAATTCATGCATGCATATGATTATCCTATGCTAGAAATAGCATAATAAAGTTTAGGCAAACAAGCATAGCTGGCATAAGCCATCGTACTCTCCCACTCAGGCTCAGCAACCCCCAGGCTCAGCACCAGTAGTCTCATCTCCAGAGTCCACAATAGCAGGCTGCTGAGGCGGAGAAGACGACCTTGGTGGAAAACCAGGGGGGGTTTCCAAGCGAGGAGAGCGGCGAGTGGTCGCCGTGTCGTCCGCGCCGGGGTCACCCCCCTCAACTGGGCCAGGCCAGAGGAGTCAGAAGAGATCTCCACATGCTCATTCAAGGGGGGTGGTTCTACCCGAGACACACCTAAGGGAGCAGGACCCTGTGGGGGGAGTGGGTCTATTGGAGGGGGGACTGGTACCAGGAAGAGAGGCGCTAGAGGGACCGGGTGGGACGCGTGCGGGTGTAGCCTCTAAATACAGGCAGACTCGTAGAAGGTGACGTCCTGGGAGGAGAAGACTCGACGCGAACGCGGGTGGTAGAACTGCCACGGCGGGGCGTCAGTGGGGAAGCCAAGGAAGACGCAACGGAGAGTGCAAGAGGAGAGTTTGCTCGCTTTGGCATCGCGAGCAAGGAAGAGCGCGCCCCAGACCTGAAACATCGACGCATCACCAACCTTCCCCATCCACTGGAGTGTGGGCGAGGTCTCTGTTTCAGAGACACGGGCCAGAGGTTGAGCTGATGCGCAGCGTATCAGACCGCAAACGGCCACAGAAAATGGGGAGCAACCGCTGTTGAAGTTCCTAGAGTTTAGTAGGCTTAGGAGCCATAGATTTAGGTGCCTTAGTAGCTTAGGTTTAGGGTTGAAGATGAATGTCGAGAAAGTTGGAAAGGAGAATGAGTGGCTTCACTATAGGTTTGCAAGAACATATAGCAAAGTAACAAAGAAGGTGCACCACCAAACAAAGTTTATAATAACTACACTAACTACAGCGATAGGCAGTTACAAATATATTCTGACAACCGCTTGGATCATGGAGGTACGAGCAACCTCCATGATCAAGCCAATGCGACGCTCAGCAATCCCATTTTGCTGAGGAGAGGCCGGAAGCGTGAACGTCTGGCGAACTCGACAGAACTCCTCAAGGAGGCTAGAAGAGAACTCACCGCCCCTGTCAGAGTGCAGACGCAGGTCTGGCAAGTCCCGCCGAAACCTCTTGCGCAGCTACTGACAAGTAGCACGGATCGAGGGGATCAAAACACCGCTGACGTCCGCCTTGCGCCGCAAGGGGAAGAGAGTGGTGTAGTGTGTGTGGTCGTAAACCACCAGCAGGAAGTAGCGCTCCTAGTCCGTACCACTGACGGGGGCCGGGCCCCACACGTCCATGTGGAGAGTCTGCAGAGGAGTAGTGGTCGGCGGAAACTCGGAGGAGTGAGGAGCGGCGTGCTGCCGCCCCTCGATGCAGGGAAGGCACGGCGGTGCAGCCGAGCGCGGGAGGGAGGGCAGGGACCTGGGAAGGCCAAAGACAAGGAGATAAGAGTGCATGCTGCAGAGACGCGGCAGCGAGGGGTGACTGAGGCGTTGGTGCCAGAGGAGAGTCTGGTGAGAGATTACCCAACACGAGGAAGACGCTGCATGGCAGGGCGGCACGGGGACAGGGCAGCGCGATGCACGGGCTGCAGGGCAACTAGGCACAGGCTACACGGCAGGGCGGCGTGCGCTAGGCAGGGCAGCAGGGCGTGACTCGCATGCTGCAGCAAGGCACGACGTGCGCTAGGCAGGGCAGCAGGGCGTGACTCGCATGCTGCAGCAGGGCACGACGTGCGGGCTGCAGGGCGCGAGGCGCGGGCTGCAGCAG